AGGGTGGGATTGGGAGGGACAGGAGAGGGAAGGGGAGGGGAGGAATGGGAAAGGAGAGGAAGGGGTAAAGGAAAGAGCGAGATGAGAGAGGAGGGTGGCGCACGGCGGTTGGCCAGGCGTGGCCGTCTGCTCTGAAACATCGCTGCGCCGCCGCATCCTACCCCGAAATTTAATGAGAGCAGCTGCTGAATTCATTAAGATTTTGTCTTCCGCAGACACACGCGGAGGCGCCCCAGCGTTCGGTTCCTGCGGTTCCGAAGGGCGTCGCTGTCCCCTCCGCTGCGAAGGCCGCCGCCACCGCCACAGCGAAAATCGCAAGGCCGCTAGAATGAATCCCCAATCCGAGGTCCGTGTGCATGATCTGTCTTGCACGCCTATCTTGTCCAGATCGTTCATGCGAGTTATTTCTCTGTAGAGTCTTCGTTACTTTCTTCATTCACCTGTTCGGACCCGAGTTCACCGTTCGGACACGAGAATCAACGTGTCGAAGTATGTTTAATGGGCTATTATATTAGGGCGTGAATGTACATTCAGGAGGGGGAATTTGTAAAGTACCTTGGGTACAGGGGTGAGTTGTAGTTGTGGGAGTGAGAGGGGTTACATTTGGTTTGGGGAAAGATGTTTTTAGTTAAAGTGAGAATAGAATATTCCATTGGCATAACCGGGAAAGATGCCTTAGGGCTGATGTAGCTGTAGTCCCTCTGACTAGATTCGAGTCCAAACGGAGGCGGGATTTCCGACACTAGCTAGTCAGCTAGGTCGAATTCTATCTGAAGGAGAATTCTAGCGGCCTGCTGCTCTGATAGGTAGTTTTCCGTGGTTACTACTTAGGCGAATGCCGAAGCACTATCCTAACAAATGGGTCACGAACCGCGCACGATCTGTCCTACCTTCTCCTTCTCCCATCCTCTCCTCTTACACACTCACTGACACTAACACCCACTACACAAGCCGAGACCGGTAAGTGGGAGATTCTTGGTTGGAAAAACCCGCTAGCCGACGATAGGTCGCGGCCGGATCTAGCCATACAGCAATGGTAAGATCACCGCCCCCTCCCGAACAAAAACATGCGGAAGGATACTTACGGGACTAATGATCCTGGTACTTGACGTGCTCGGAATCACTTAAACAATCAATCAATCAAAACCATTGGCATGAGGGAGTGAGAAAGAAACAGGTTAATTTGTTATAGTGGAGAAGGGTGATTTGTTCAGTTGTCAGTCGCTGATTAGCGGATACAGATTCCTCGAGCTTTTTGTTTTGTCACTTTAAAGAAGGTATTTATTATATAAGCAGGTATCGAAGCGTTGGTGGCACGTGAAGGTCGCTTGAAATGAATTTCCTCACTCCACTCACACAAAAACCTAGTCAAGTAGTTGTTAGTATGATTGTAACGCTGCAATTGACGATTTATAGAGGAAAGCAATACTCAAGTAGTCAGTTTAGCAATACTCATGTCTCTGTGAAACGCACAATCTAAAAAGTATGGAAGAATCCATCTAAACAGAATGTTTTCGTGCTAATGAGTAAATGTATATACTAAAATAGTTGAAATTATGAAAACCCTATGAAAATATGATGGGACATTACAAAAATAAATTGAAAATGCTTGTGAAAATCTCTCGAAACAAAAGGTTTATGCAAAACAAATAAGAAAATTAACATAGAATATAGGTATTTAGTTACATCACGCAATTAAAAAATATTGAAACTATCATACACGACCGCTCAATTACAAAAAAACGTGCGTACAAATTTTAATGAAAACGTTTCATCAAATTAATCTTGTTCGAAATGTCAACACTTCCTGCGGGTCTGACTATTAAGACATTTTCCAAGCTACTCACTGATTGCAAGTTGTTTTTCATCATTGTTTCTCTTCATCTTAACATCAAGAATCCCAGAGAGAATTGAAGAAGTCTGAATAAGGCATTGCTTTATATTTACAAATTAAGTAGTTACAGTCAATAAAAACAATATGTTAACGGCAAATCTGCACTATTGGACTGGAAAAAAACTGTAATTTAAAGATGACTGATGCCAAGTCCAAGACTAACGGGAAAAAGGAAGCCTCGTGTATCACATCAATTCTCCAATACTCCCATGTCCTCTTGGCTACGCCGCTACCTTTGTGAGGTGCGAGGTGCTGAAATCGAAGAACTCAACCCCTGCTTTTGGAGCAATAGAACAAGAGCCAAGAAGGTTACCATATGACACCGTGGTCTACCAGATAGTACTATGTACCATATACTGGTGTACGGACGAAGATATGGAATAGTATAGTGGAATAGGATATGGAAGTATAGGCGCAAGAGCTACCTCAGCTAACATTCTGCACGGGCAGAGCTAGTAAATGCTCTGAATAACATGACATTATTTGATTTTTCAAAAATTTCACAAAATTATTTTTATATCTCACTTTGTCAACATTTACAATAGAGGCACTTTTATAATTTATTGCATTTGAGAGCACAAGTGATTCTAATGATATTTTATGAAGTTTCTGCTAAGCTCAAAAGCTTTCTGTGAAAAATTAGCTCAAAATTGTGCGTGTTTAGAAAAACTCAAACTCCATTTTCTAAAAAACTGCTCCAAATATTTCAATTAAATGTGTATAAAAACGTGTTTCAAATTTCTATTACATATTTTCGATTTAATATATAATGTCTAAAAATTGGAAAAAGATGCAATTATGTTTTTGTTTCTTATATAAAATTATTTTCTCAATATAAATATTGCAAGAGTGTACGCGTAATAATGACTGGAGACTACTGTACCGCTACTTATAAAATTACCAAAACGATTTTCTCGAGTTCTACTTTATACTTCATTTTT